AGGAGGAGGAGGAGGAGGAGGAGGAGGAGGAGGAGCCATGGTTGTTTGATTGAGCGAGAAGGCAGGAGCGAGAGATGATGATAATATTAGAGATCTCAAGGAACAAAGGAGAAAGAAGGTGTTTAGAGAGAAAACAAGGAGGAAAGGTTGGAAGGAGGGAAGAGAGGGAGGACCTTTAAGTAGTAAAGAAGGTCAGGTAGGAGGGCGAGAGAGCATATGATAGAGAGTACAGAGTGAAGAGTGCCCGGTAGAGAGTGAAGAGTAAGGTGAATCAAAGGTAGAGAGAAGGTGAGGGTAAGGTAAAAGTCTTGCTTGAACTGTACCTCGCCATTGAATTGCTCTTGAGTCGATCGCAAGGATCGAGTCATCTGTGCAGTAAAATCGCGGTGGAACAGGCCCGGTCGCCGGACTTCTCTTTGATCGATCGCCAGCTTGCGCCGTTGTCCCACTGCTAGACATCTGTTGAACTGGCCTGGCCGCCGCACTTCTCTTCAGTCGAATGTGGGTATGCGCAGTCCTCTGTCGCAACATCTCTTCGTCGATCGCAAAGCACTTGATCCTGCGCCGCAGCCTCTCTGCATCGATCGCAACCACGCCGTCCTCTGCCTCAGTCACTCTCGGCCTGCATACCGTCCCTGGCAGTGAAGTCTTGCAAAGACAGCCCTTCCCGCCAGCTCTCTCTCCGGTCGATCGCCAACCTGCGCGGTCCTGCGTGGCAAAGTCTTGCTTGATCCAAGCCGAGCTGGCATGTTCTCTTCGGTCGATCGCGAACTGGCGCAGTCCTGTGCAGTAAAGTTCCTCCTGAGTCAATGGTCAACTTACGCTGTCCTGTGCTGCAAGGCTTTGCTCAAACAGACCTTGTCATCAGACCTCTCCGAGACCGATCGCCTGCGCGCCATCCTACGCCGCAGAAACTTGCAAGAACATTCCATCTCGTCAGAACTCTCAGCGATCGATTGCCTGCGCGCCACTCTTCGCCACAGGATCTCTTCAGTCGATCGCAAGCATGCGCCGTCCTGTTTTCCGATCCTCTTTAGTCAGTCACCTTTGCGCGCCGTCCTCCGCCGTAGGATCTCTTCAGTTGATCGTGAGCACGCTTCGAGTCTGAGGAATCTTCTTTTTCAACACCCGCTCGCGCTCGGCTTTCAAGACCCGTCGCCAATAGCATTCCGGAGTAACCGCCACATCAGCCGCTTCGTCCTTCGCCACTGTTCTGTCGTTCCGCAACACCCCCCACTGGAAAAGGTAGCGGATGCAAGTCGGACGCTCTTCGTGGTAAGTATTTTCTGATCCCAGTCTTCCTCTTGTATGGATGTCAACGTCGTCCCGAATGGATGACACTGTTGTTGGCTGAATTTCCCAGAAGAGTCAGTCGGTCTTGGGCTGGGTGCGCTTGAGGGAGGAAGGGGCGAAGCATTCGTTCCGTGACTGGTGACGGTACCTCCTGATCGCTGCGATCTTGCAGACGGCCAGTCAACATTGAATGTATCGTCATCAATTCTGTCGGCTGATGCTGTGGAGGGAGCCGAGTTGGCAAATGGTCGTCTCGAGGAGATCGAGTTCTCTTGTTCTTAGGGCTGCTGGGTGCGGAGGTGGAACCGAACACCTCAACTCCTTCCTCTGGCTGAGCATCTTCGTCGACGCCATCTTCCAGCGCGGCTACCATCACCCATTATCGCAAACAGTGTGTGCACACACATCTCTTGCCATAGGAGCTGGGCTGAGAAGCTATCGTACTCTCGATCGTTGGACCGGATCCTCACCGTCCGTTTTCGCATCGCGTTCCTGCACTCACTCTCTTCCGGCCTTCTCTCATCAATCCGGCACAAAGCCGCATGGCGATTGAACGCTATACGCGTCAGCATGTTGCATGACAACACGCAAATCTGCAGCGAGTATTGTATTCCATCCTCTTGTGTCATCTCGCACTTCAACCAGCTTTCGTGAAAAAGCTGGCGTGGTCAGGAAGGGTAGCCTCAGAGCGGGGCGTGTACGCCTCCTTCGTTACGCGACTCTGCGCCAATGCTATCCATCCCAGGGTCATCTAAGTAGACGGCGGCATCGAGTATCTTGGTTTGGTGAGGATCGGTGAGACCAGGTCCTTCGACAGGCTTGCGGCGGCGAGTTCGGAGTCGGCGCTTTAACAGTAGCCATAGCGCTGCGGACGTCAAAAGCAGACCAGATTGGTGCTTTCCAGTGAGAAAAGGAGATAAAAGGGCAAGATCTTTTCAAAAGCCCCTTGTTGATCAACGTGTTGTTGATTTCTGCATAGCTGGCTGCGCTGCGCCTATTGTTGGCGGGGCTGTAGCTTGCCCATCGCCCCTGACCGGGTTGGCGGATCGACGCCTAATTCGGCTGGTGGCCTCGCCCATGCGCGAACATCACCACAGAAAGCCTTGATCTTAGCCTAAGCCTGACGCATTCCGTATGGCTGGCGTGATCACCAGTAGGGCATTCTTGACTAGCGGTGGCGCTTACTCTCTGAACGGGTCCTATTTGGCTACTGTCGCAATTAAGACGCCGACTGGGAGAGATTCCTCTTCGAATCGACCAACAGCTGGCGCAAAGAGTTGATGAAAAACTATAGGTGCCAGGCGCTCAGAAGGCGCTCCATGGTATGGCTGTAGCAGTGTGTGCAAATTTTTGGAGTATCGACTGGCAGTGCATTGAGCAGCATTCCTTAAAGCCCCGGTTCGCTTGGTTTCAGGACCGCTTCATGATCTAAGACTGCACTGGACTCTAGACCGGCGAAAAACCGAGGTGACGGATTTTGCGCTGCTCTTCGTCCTAATAAATTATTTCCACTTATGATACGATTAGTTGTATCGTAATTAACGATACTACTTATCAATGACTGGCTGTTACTGTAATAAACGCTATGCTAGACCACTTTAAGAAATGCTCTCCACATGGGTTCTTGGAGAAAGACGAAGAGAGATTTTGAAAAAAAAAAAAAAAAAAAAAAAAAAAAA